CTTCCCCCCCCCCCCCCCCCTTTCCCCTCTCCCCCTCGCCTGGCCTGAACGAAGCCCACTCCACCCTTCCACCCATGCATCCTCTCATACTCCATCTACTAACTCGACTCCCACCTCCAGGACGTCCATCGTTCTCAACATCTCGCTGCTTCCCTGCATCCTGGGCCTGACATGGCACCTCAAGCGCAAGAACCGGCAGCTCGACGAGGGCAAGTGCGGACCCTTGGAAGGCGTGGAAGGATTCCGTTACACCCCTTGATCGCTTTAGTCCCCTTAATCCGCTTATACCTTAATCCCGTTAATCTCCCCTCCTCCTCCTCCACCCCCACTGAGGTGAGCCCAGCCAGCCACGATCAGAAAAGGAAAAGGCTTTGGGAAGGGATAATGCGCTCGGAGTTTGCTTGCTTGCTTGCTGACGTACTTTTGTTTGTTTAATACATGTATATCTCTATATATATCTATACATATATGTATACACAATATATATATACATCTACGCATACACGCCCGCAGGAGCCTCTACAGTATACATAACCCAAGACACCAAAACCCCAGCAGCAGCGGCAGCAGCAGCAATATACCCAATTCAATCCCCCACTCCCACGCGCGAGACCATCCTACACCCACCCGTCCAACAAGACCTCTCAGCCTTCCAATCGCCCGTACCTACCTACATCCCACCCTCATATCATACCTATGCTCGAAAGGGATTGGTCAGCCCGCCTTGTAAGTAAAGTATACATTACATCCATTGTATATATATAGCTAGGTAGGTAGCTACGCAGAACGCGGCCAGGTATAGATAGGTAGCTAGCTAGCTTGCCAGCCAGCCAGCCCATTTGACGCCATCGGCGGTTCACGCACCCACGCACCCACGCAGCACACAGTACTTTATGTATATCAGTCAACACCTAAGTTAAAAAGCCACCTACCGTACGTAGCGCGGCGCGTCGACGCGCGGTCTACTTATCTGATTGGTTAGTGGCGGGTGTATATATAGGCCACTGTTATTTTATTTACTTCTTTAATAAGAACGCGTTGTTTTGTGTAAGAGTGCACATGCCTTTCTCTTCCTTTCCTTTCCTTTCTCTTCCTTTCTTTTCCTTTCTTTCTCTTCCTTTCCTTTCCTTTCCTTCTTTCTTCTCTCTTTCTTCTTCTTTCTTTCTTCAAGAATCAAGAATCAAGAATCAAGCAAGCAATCAAGAAGGCTGCCTCATACAGCCGAGCCGGACCCGGTCGGTATATGGATTGGAGAAACTGCGACGTGCGATGAGGTTATAGCAAACACACATATATATATATATATATATATATATTAATATATTGTCATAGAAATGACAATGTG